TCGCTCTTGTTCTCTCAAATTAAATAAGTAAATAAATAAGTAATCTTTTAAAAGTATGGATTTGGTCAATTATTTTCCTCCTATTGACGTGATAATGTGATTTTTGTTTTGTTTTTATTGATATGTTAAAAAATAATCTTGCATTCCTAGGATAAATTTCATTTGGTCATGGGTTATAATTCTTTTATGTGTTATGGCATTTCAGTATGCTAGTATATTGTTGAGGATTTTTGCATTTGTATACATAAGAGAGAATGGTTTGTCCGATTTTGGTATTAAGGTAATCCTGAACTCATAGAATAAAGTAGGAAGTTCTTCCTCTTCAGTTGTTTTGAAGAGTTTATGAAGAATCAGTATGATTTTTCTTTTAGATTTTATTTATTTGTCAGAGAGGGAGAGAGGGAGCACAAGCAGAGAGAGAAGCAGGCTCCCCGCTGAGCAGGGAGCCCAGTGTGGGACTCAGTCTCAGGACTCTGGGATCATGACCTGAGCCCAAGGCAGACACTTAACCTACTGAGCCACCCAGGCATCCTAAGTATTATTTTTTCTTTAAACATGTGGTACAACTTACCAATAAAGCCATCTGGGTCTTTGCTTTTCTTTATGGGTGGTTTTTTTTTTTTTTAAGATTTTATGTATTTATTTATTTATTTGAAAGAGAGAGAGAAAGTGAGAGAGAGCATGAGAGGAAAGAAAGGTCAGAGGGAGAAGCAGACTCCCTGTGGAGCCAGGAGCCCAACGTGGGACTCATCCTGGGACTCCAGGATCATGACATGAGCCAAAGGCAATCTCTTAACCAACTGAGCCACCCAGGCACCCTTTATGGGTGGTTTTGACTACTAATTTAATCTCTTTACTTGTTATATGTCTGTTCACATTTTGTGTTTCTTCTTGAATCAATTTTAGTAGAGTTTGTGTTTTATAACTACAACTTTTCATCATTTTTATCGAAAGTATTTAATTTATTGGCAAAAATTGTCTTATTTTTAATTAATATTTTAAAAGTTTCTGTAAAGTCAGTAGTATGTTTCTTCTTTTGTTTCTCATTTATGTAGTTTGAATCTTTTTTCTTCATCACTTTAGAGTTTTATCAATCTTGTTGATCTTTTCAATGAACCAATTTGTTATTTCATTGATTTTCTCTTTTGTTTTTCTAATCTTTGTTTCCTTAATTTCCACTATATTCTTTACTGTTTCTTTCCTTCTGCTTGCTTTAGGTTTAGTTTGCTCTTCTTTTTCCAGTGTTTTAAGGTAAAAGGTTAGGTTGTTGATTTGAGCTCCTAAGTTTTTTTAAAACAATATAAGCATTGCAGAATGAAATTCCCTCTAAGCATTCCCTGAATTATTTGGAGGGGCTCTTTGTCACAGGAACCACTGGTATTTTAGTTCTTGATTTTTTTATTCATAACTAATCAAAGGTCTTAACTATGCTTTTTTGATACCAAAAGTTATACTTTAGAGCACTGAAAAAAATTGATACTGGCTAGTCAGTTCAGTACTTGAAACTGTTTTAAAGTGTTATTTGGAAGTAGAACTTATTATTTTATTATGTTCAGTTAACCAGCATATATTGCATCATTAGTTTTTGATGTAGTATTCAGCAGTTCATTAGTTGTGTATAACACCCAGTGCTCATTACAACATGTGCACTCCTTAATACCATTACTCACTTGGACTTAAAGCATAATAAAGCTGATAGCAACCTCCTGGATACCATTTAAATTAGTTCAGTAGAAGTTTAACGGGATCCAGGAGGTTGCCATTAACTTCATCAAGCTTTAAGTCCAAGCTTTAATTACAATCATGATTCCAAAGACTCTAACATTGGTTATTATTATTTTAATAGGCAGACTTGGTTATACTGCAACAAAATGATGAGAACTGAATGTTTAAGTTATAAAAAACGTAGCTTAGAAGCTAGCATTGAAGATCATTCTTATTATCTCTCTTCTCATACTTCTGTTCCACTGGCTAAAAGGACTAACACTTTTTTGTCTTCATTTTTAAATGAAGTAAATGTTAACTTTAAAATTAGTCTTGTGGAGACTCAACAGTAAATGAAGAATTTTCAGGTATGGCTCAAATGTTATTACTAGATACCAAGACTGATTTAAGTGTGTTCTAAAAATCAGTATTTTCAAGGGGAGTAATAATAGATACTGAATATCTGCTCTCAATATGTCAAAGCAGATATTCAGTATATCTCAATTCAAAGTAGATTAGCATTATATATTTTTGTTAGGTGATGTGGTATATAATAGAAAATTTGGTATATAATAGAAAATATATTCAAGTGGACTTTGAAATATCCATTAATGTAAATGTAAGTATCGGGCTGCCTAGGTGGCTCAGCCATTAAGTGTCTACCTTCAGCTCAGGTCATGATGTCAGGGTCCTGGGATAGAGCCCCTTATCAGGCTCCCTGCTCCGTGGAGAGCCTGCTCCTCCCTCTATCTCTGCCTGCTGCTCTGCCCACTTGTGCTCTCACTCTCTCTCTCTTGGTCTCTCTCTGTCAAATAAATAAATAAAATCTTAAAAATAAATGTGAATATCAAAGAATGTTTCTAAGACATTATGTCATGATACTAAAGCTTGTTTTTCCATGTAAAATAATTTTAGTGCAATATGAACTTAACTAGAAATGTAAAGCATTCGAATTGCTATCCTTTATATTATAATTATTTAAAATGTAAAAAAATAATGGCTTGAGAGAGTAAGGAGAGGTGACTAGCTTTGGCTTTTATTATGGTTAGAGTGGGGGCGGAGTGCGGATTTTTGTACACAACCCAGCCAGGGCTTATGTACTTTGAACTTCCTGCCAATGCTAAGGGAACACTTGGGCTTTCTTATTTCTTTGTCCAGATGTTGGCAAGAAGTACGAGTGGTGGACCTTGAAAACTGTCAGCAGTCAAACATCAAAAATGAAGACCTACTTTTAATTATGTAAAACCATAATACCTCCTGCTCTGCCCTCCAGTCCTTAATACTCTGGCAACCACTAATCTCTTGTCCATTTCTATATTTTCGCTATTTCAAGAATGTTGTTATGTTAAACATTTTTTCATGTCCTTATTTGTATGTCCTTATTTGTATTTATTTTCATGTCTTTTGCCTATTTTCTTATGGGATTATTTGTCCTTTTAACTGTTGAGTTTTGAGAATTCTTTATATAGTCAGATACTAGTCCTTTGTCAGGTATGTGCCTTATAAATATTACCTTCCAGTCTGTAGCTTGTCTCTCCTGCTCTCAACAAGGGCCTTCCTAGAGCAGAGTTTTACATTTTGATGAGGTCTAGTTTATCAGTTTTCCCTTTTATGGGTCATGCTTTTGATGTCAATTCTAATGACTTTGCCTAGCCTTAGATCATAAAGATTTTCTCCTATGCTTTTTTCTAAAAGTTGTATAGTTTTATGTTTTATAGTTAAGTCTGGGATTCATTTAGAATTGATTTTTTGTATAAGATGTAAGGTTTAACTTGACTTTCCTTACTTTGCCAATGAATGTCCAATTCCCCCATCAGTATTTGTTGAGAAGACTATCCTTCCTCCTTTGAATTGCTTTTTGCACCTTCATGAAAAATCAGCTGGGCACATCTGCAGGGTAGAATCCTACCTGATGGTGTGGCCTGCAGTATAAACTTTTACCCTAGATGTGAAAAAACAAACATTCACTGAGAGCCCAAGATGTGCCCAGGTAGTTTTTTACTTAAACCCCACAACTACCCCCATTTTATACAGTGAGGACACAGAGATTTTAAGAGGTAAAGTGATGCCTCCATAGTCAGTACAGTTAATAAGTGGAGAGGTGGATTTGAACCCAGGTCAGTCTTACTTGTTCTCCTCTCTGTACACTAAACTCTGATGTCTCATGAAAATGGCTTAAACCTCTGGAGAGCCTCCATTATGATGAGTTACAGAGGAAACTCGGAGTGTAGTAGATAGCTGGGTTAGTAGTGTCCAGATTATAGTTCTTAACATGTTGGTGGGGTCACAATCACTTAAGGAATTCCTAATCAGCATTTGTTTTGTTTTTGAATTGCTTATTTGAGATATTTTAAAATATAATACTGCAATATTAGTAAAGTCACATTTAATATTACAAATTAGTTGGGCATATTTGTGTTGGTCTATCCCAGGTTTTTCTTTTCCACTGGTTTATGTGTCTTTTCCTCCACCAGTACCACAGTCTCTTTTTTTTTTTTAAGTTTTTAGTTAAATTCCAGTTTGTTAACATACAGTGTTATATTATTTTCAGTGTCCAATATAGTGATTCAACACTTCCATCCATCACCTTGTGCTCCTCACAAGTGCACTCCTTAATCCCCATCACCTATCTCACCCATCCCCCCACTCACCTCCCCTCTGGTAACCATCAGTTCATTCTCTATAGTTAAAAGTCTGTTTCTTGGTTTGCCTCTCTTTCTCCTCCTCTCACCGCTTTTTGCTCATTTGTTTTGTGTCCTAAATTCCATGTATGAGTGAAATCATATGGTATTTGTCTTTCTCTGGCTAACTTATTTCACTTAATATTCTCTAGCTCCATCTATGTTGTTGCAAATGGCGAGATTTCATTCTTTTTGATGGCTGGGTAGTATTGATTTATATGTATTCCATATATTCCTTATCAGTTCATCAGTCAGTGGACACTCAGGCTGTTTCCATAATTTGGATATTGTGGACAGTGCTGCTGTAAACATTAAAACACCTCTTTGAATTAGTATTCTTGTATTCTTTGGGTAAATATTTAGTAGTTCAGTTGCTGGATCCACAGTCTTGATTTGTCTTAAAATTAAATAGATGATGTCCTCATACTCTATTTTTTAAAAATTGTTTTAGTTGCCTGCTTTCCCCCTTTCTCTCTGCCTGCCTCTCTGCCTACTTGTGATCTCTGTCTGTCAAATAAATAAATAAAATCATAAAAAAATTGTTTTAGTTATTGTAATTCCTTTATTTTCCACATAAATTTTAGAATAATCTTGTCTATAAATATGAAAAACTTTCCTGAGATATTGATAGGAATAGCATTAAACCTGTAGATCTTTTGGTGAAGAATTGACATCTTTACTATGTCAAGTCTTCCAGTATATGATACAGTAGGTCTGTTCGTTTATTTAGACCTTTGGTTTCTTTCATCAGCCATTTGCAATTGTTAGCCTACAAGCCCTGTACATGTTTTCCTGCATTCTGGGTTATTTTCTTAGTTTATTTACCACAGTATGTGACAGTGTAGCACTGGTCTGCTTAATATTGGCAGGCATGACTGTGCAAATCTTCATGTGCCCTCTTTTCATACATCTAGTGATGATCCTGGCTACCAGGATCTAACTGCACCATCATTCTTGCATCCCTCCTGAACAATAATGTTGATTATTTTAGTCTTTTGACAGTGACATCTGATATCCCAGCAAATGGCACTGCCCACTACAGTGCTGAAAAACTACTCCTGATGTCCCAGCAGCGACACAGCTAACATAGACCTGGTTCACATTCTGCTGGGTAGAGCCTGAGAAGGAGTGATGCCCCCAGGCAGGTGGCATGCTGTCCATCCGGCTCAGGCACAGGCTTCAAGGGAACGAGGGCGTCTTCAGATGATAAAGAAGGAAGAAGAGGATGAGGGATACACTTCAGTGCAGGCTGCCAGGCCACAAACACTCAACCGTTCTGGCCAGGAACTATTTCGCCAGCTCTTCAGGCAGCTTCGCTACCATGAATCTTCTGGGCCCCTAGAGACTTTCAGCCGGCTCCGTGAGCTCTGTCGCTGGTGGCTGAGGCCTGACATTCTCTCCAAGGCCCAGATCCTAGAGCTGCTGGTGCTGGAGCAATTCCTGAGCATCCTGCCCGGGGAGCTCCGGACCTGGGTGCAGCTCCATCACCCTGAGAGTGGTGGGGAAGCTGTGGCCCTGCTGGAAGAGTTGCAGAGGGACATCAATGGGACACCATGGAGGGTGAGTGTGCACAAGTGTGCAGTGCCCAGTGAACTCTGCCTGTCAGCTAGCCACCTCATTTAGAGTGGGTGGGTGGCTTGGGTCTCTGAACCCTCAACATTGAGGAAGGCAGGGAATGTCTTCCCTTCTCATTCCCACAGCACCTGAGCAGCTGAGAACTAGACCCTGAGCGGAGGACCTTTGAGCTGGCAGCCCTTCCCACCTTCCCAGAGGACAGTCGGCTCCAGTAAGAGGGTCAGCAAGTATCTGTAGATGACAGTAATGAGCTTTGGACACAGTGACTTAGGTTATGCCAGGCCATCTCCACATACCTAATTTGACTTGATATTGACCTGTTAAGTGGGAGTAATGTCTCTCTTGCTGTTAGTCAGGACTCCTGGCTTCTGAGTACATGGTAAGACCTATAAATGCAGTGCACTCACATCTTCTTCTTTCTTTTGAGGATTTGTTCTGTGCAGGGGTCAGGGGTAAGAAGAGTATTGAGGGACAGCCCAGGGCCAAGAAATTGGAAGACTTTCACAGCCTCATTGTAAGCATTGCTCACATTCTCCCAGATTCTCAGATTATTTAAAAGAATATGTAAAACTGATCTAACAATGAGAATTTATTCAGTGTATATTTGAATTCCCACCGTGTGCCTAGCCCCAGCCTTAGCACTGGAAAACAGTTGACTCCCCCAGAGCTGGTGGTAGAGCAGCCAGTCAGTTAAAGTGAGCTCTGTCTGCTCCTTCTGCCCAACACAAATGAGTTTCTCAATGCTTCTGATAGCTTTGGAGATTTGTTTTTTGTTTTTCTTAAGAGCGTCTATCATTTTTATAGGCTTCTTTAAAATTTTTTTTCAATAAAAATATGTGGAACATATTTGACATACTTTTCTCCCAAATATCAAATTAAGTAACACATTTCACTGAACATCTGCCAGCAGTAAATGATAATATATCAATGCAGGTTATGACTATTAAAAAAGAAAACCTTTTTGCTTAACATGGGTTACTATTTTAAAAAATCTAAAAGAGCATTTTATCATTTTTACCAAAACACCAAGATGTTCAAAAGGATTGAAAAATCACTGATTAAAGCAAATAAGGTACAAAATTGTGGCTTAATTACATTTAACTCATTTAGAGCTAGATGTAAGGTTTGAAAATACCTGATGGAGATGCAGGACCTGGTTGAAAGCTGGTTGGAAATTAGAAAACAGGGACACCTAGGTGGCTCAATCAGTTAGGCATCTGCCTTTGGCTCAGGCCACGATCCCAAGGCTGTGGGATCGAGTTCCACATCGGGCTCCTTGCTCAATGGGGAGCCTGCTTTTCCCCTTTCCCTCTGCCTGCCACTCCCCCTGCTTGTGCTCTCACTCTCTCTGACAAATAAATAAGTAAAAGCAAAAAAAAAAATAAGAAAACAAAATAGGCTGGACGAACACCTCCCAAATTCTGAAAAATGAACAGAATGGCTCAAGATGCACATAAAATTGCATAAACACCCTGTGGTTTATCAGCATTGAGCAACAAGATTCTGAGAAATTTCCCTAAACTCATTGGGCTGTCTGCTTCCATCTTTGTATGTTTCTTTATTCTCTTTTTGGTAGGGTTTGGGAGGAACAGGTTCATCATCTTTAATCTGTAGCTTGGTATCACATGTTTCATGGCCCCAGGCTAATATTCATCCAAATCAGTGTTAAGAAAGTTAAGAAAGAAGAGACCAGTTTCAGTCACGGGACCAGATAAAACTTAAAAGTTCATTCGCTGTAAGCTTTCAATACTCATTTCTACATCAGGGATAGCCTTGCCTCAGAGACTGGAACCATTTGAAGTCCCAGGGCAAAGACTGCCTCTTTCTAGGTCTCTGTTTGGATGGTCACTGCCATTTTTTGTACCTGAGACCTTTCTCTTCTGTGATTTCATGGCTGACCCTCACAAGTAGCATTGCCTCTCTGGCAGTGTTAATCTCAGATTTACGCTGGGAGGGGTCCTGCTTCTTGGAGGTCACTGGTTAGTAGTGCCTAGAGCAGTGCCTAATACTTGGTAGATGTTATCTGTCTGCATCTCTGTGGTGAACCATTATCATTTTAACTCAGGGATAAATTTCTTCTCTCTGATTTCTAAGTTCTAGACCAGGATGGGGCCTGAGGGGCTAGTGGGGATGTGTCACTGTAGCACCTGAAGCCTAACAGCGGTGCCTTGCTGGGTGCTTTCCCATGTTGTAGCTGGAATCTGGCTCCACCTATCTCCCTCATGGCCCACACTAGAGCCCAGGGAGGCTAGGGGTGAGGGGGTCCTCCCTGGATTTTCTCCTCTTCCTTTCCCCTCTGCTGTAGGTAATGAAGGGCCTGTCTTGCCCTTTCCTGGATCCCTGCCCTTAATGATTGGCCATGTGGCCTCCTCTGAGTTTGCGTTATGATTCCCATAGGGATCTTCTCACAACATTTTTTTCCCTCCAGGATCCAGCCCTTTCCCAGAGCCCAGATGTACGTTGGATGGGTACAGGAGCCCTTCGAGCCTCACAGATATGGCCCTCTGCTTCACCTCTCAGGAGCGGCTCTACTCTTGGGGACCACCTGGAGCCTCCCTATGAAATAGGAGTGTGTGACTTCTTGGCTGGCCAATCCGGTACTTGCCATCAAGCTCTAAGCTGTATGCCACACATCCCAAAGTAGTGTTGTCATTTCACCATCTGTCCTCTCATGAGAATCCCTTTCAGTTGGTGCTTAGCTCTGTGTCCTTTTTACCCTTCTGTAACCCATGTCTAACTAGCTCCTCTTCCCATTGCACCCCCTACTTGTCATTCCCTAACCCTCAGTGGACCCTGGGGAAATGTGAAATGGGTATTTAACAATAGTCCATACCTGCTCCTAGGCCCAGGACTCCTCTATGTGGGGAAGGAATGGACCTCCTCGGTGGGATGCCAAGAACTGGGCTACCTTCTCTCATGGTTCTTTCTTCTCCTTCAGAGCCTCCTGTTCCCCAGGTGCCTGCCCTTTCCCAGAGAGAGGTGTGCCCAGGAGACCCATTGACATCTCAGGCTCAGGTGAGTCATAAGAACTTTGGTCCTTCATGACATCCCAGCATTGCTGCCTAATGGAGTCAGTGAGGCTCCCCCTATCTTGAATCTCTGTGTCTCTGGATGTGACCGGGTCCTGGAGACCAGATTATCCCCCTTGAACTCAGAGCTCTTCTGCTGGGTGATGCTCTCCCTTTCACCCTTACCACATCAATCCTCTGCTCACTCAGAGCCTGCCCCCTTCCCCTGCCCTCTCCTAAAAGCCAGGAGCTGTAGACTGACTCTCAGTCATAGGACTGTGTTTTTCAGGAAGCTCTGACTTTTAAGGACGTGGAGGTGACCTTCTCCCAGGATGAGTGGGGATGGCTGGATCCTGCTCAGAGGAATTTGTACAGAGATGTGATGCTAGAGAATTACAGGAATGTGGTTTCTCTGGGTAAGGCATTGATACCCCCATGCTTCTATCCACTTTTACTTCTACGTTCTCACTTTTTATTACTGTGTCGAGACAGGGACCTGACTTGAGCTTTCACCCTGGCTTTATCACCTAGTCTTTCTTAAAACATGGTGATAATGATGCCTGTTTGCTGGATTATTACAATGATTAAAAATCATCTGTGTTAAGTTCCTAGTTAGACATCCAAATGGTATTGGTTGATTTAACTGATTGAGGTGTCATGTGGCTCCCACTTCCAGAGAATCCTAGTATCCTTTTCCCTGTGACTTCTTTCAGCCTGTTTTGTCGTGCTCAGAGCTGTTGGAAATGGCTATCTAGGCCTCCTGTCTGGCTTCTCCCACCAGCCTCCCTGGCCTTTCCCTTGTCCTTGCCAGGACCTCAGTCCTGAGAGGGTCCTGAAGAATAGTTCTGTATGATTTATCACCCTTCCATCTCATCCCATCCCCTTCTTTTTTGCAGTGGGACCATTCACCAAACCTGTTCTGATTTCCTGGTTGGAGGCAAGGGAGCCATGGGGTCTGAATGTCCAGGGAGCTCAGCCTAAGGGGAATCCAGGTGTTGCCCCCACAGGTGAGTTTCAGAGAAGCTCTGGATCTTACTCCTCTCACATCTGCTCTTCTCTTTCTTAAGGTCTTTTATACCAAGTAAGTCACAGGGAACATAACTTCTTTGTTTGCTAGAAGGAAGATCCTTAACAGTGTTGCTAAGGAGTGGTGGGCTTCTGGGCTTCTCCTCTCTAGACTGGCCTATTAGACTTTTGTTTCTGACCCTACCCCTTTCCCAGAAACCATTTTAGTAACTGTTCTTGCCCACTGGAGGGCTTCATTGTTGCACTCTTTTCCATTCAGTAATGCTCTTCCTCAACCCTCTGCTGCACTCCTTCTGGCCCTTGGCTCATACCCCATGCTCACCCCTTCATGCTCTTTGAAGAACCCTAATCGCACTCCTGCTTCTCTTCTTTGCCCCTACGATAGGTTTGACTTCCAATTCCTTCAGCCAGTCCTCCATGGAGCCCCTCCCCTGGGTTCTTGGGAGCCTTTTTATCCTCTTACCATTATTCCTCTTCCCTTTATCACTGTTTAACATTCATTTATCAATGCTGTTTTTCAAATGGATGTGATTTCTGCATGTTTAGCGCTGTGCCCACCTTCCTTCTCCTCCTCCCTTCCCTATCATCTGGAACACTCTTCCATGTTTTGCCTTCCTGGACTATTTGGTAAAGATATTGGCAGTTAAGCTGAAGCTTCACCACCCAAGATCTTGGCTTTTTTTTTTTTTTTTTTCCTGTCCTTTGGTGCTTTCTGCAGTTCCAAGTATAGAATAGAGTACATTGTCTTGTGTTTTATTTTGTTTCAGGAGGTGAGCTCCAGATTAAAACAAACAAGTTCTTCTTAAAACATGAACCTCTGGAAGAAGGAGAAACCTTAGCTATGCCATCAGAATCTTGGATGATGAGTGTTTCTGAGGGAATGGGACTCAGAGAATCTTTTGAACTGAAGAGCAGGCTAAAGGAATATGGAAACCCCATACAAGTAAGAGTTAAGAAAGAAGAGACCAATTTCAGTCACAGGAGAGAAAAAGAATCTGAAGAATTAGGAAGAAGTACTAGTCGTAATTTAAAACACGGCACATATTTGAGAGTTCCCAGAAGAAAGCGATCTCTTAAACATGGCTGTGGCAGACACTTCAGAGGGAGTTCATACCACTATGACTACAAGGAATATGGGAAAGGCCTCAGGCGCATAGTTGGTGGATTTAGCTTACATCAGAGAATTCATGCCGGACTAAAAGCAAATGTGAAGGATGCATGTGGGAAAGATTTCAGCCTTAGTTCACATCACCAACATGGGCAGAATCTTCACATGGTGGCGACATCGTATAAGTGCAGTGATTGTGGGAGGACTTTCAGTCACAGCTCTCATCTTGCATGTCATCAGAGACTTCACACTCAAGAGAAACCATTTAAATGCAGGGTGTGTGGGAAAGCCTTCAGGTGGAGCTCAAACTGTGTGCGACATGAAAAGATTCACACTGGAGTGAAACCTTATAAATGTAGTTTATGTGACAAGGCTTTCCGACGCATGTCTGCCTACCGTCTACACCAGGAAACCCATACTAAGCAGAAATTTCTTGAGTCTAATCAGTATGAGGAAGCTCTCACCTATGGCTCAGGATTTGATCATCATTTGAGAGACCAAAGAGGGGAGAAACCCTTTGACTGCAGCCAGTGTAGGAAATCCTTCCACTGTAAGTCATATGTTGTTGAACATCAAAGGGTCCACACTCAGGAGAAACCTTATAAATGTACCAAATGTAGGAAAACCTTTAGGTGGAGATCAAACTTTACTCGTCACATGAGAATGCACCAGGAAGAAAAGTTCTGTGATGAAGATCTATGTAGAGAAGACTTCAGACAGACCTCCAGTTGCAGTCAGCCCCAGAATACCCCTGCTACAGAGAAAGCTTTTCCTTGTCAGCAGTGTGGGAAAACTTTTACTCGAAAGAAATCTCTCATTGATCATCAGAGAATTCACACAGGCGAGAAGCCATACAGATGTAGTGAATGTGAAAAAGAGTTTACCCATCGGTCAGCCTTTATTGCTCATAAGAAGCAGCATGCCATTCAGAGAAAACCTGAAGATGGGCCATCGTTTAGTCAGGACAGAGTTCTCCAAGTTCCTCAGAGCAGTCACACCACAGAGGAAGCCTACAAATGCAGCCAGTGTGGCAAAGCCTTCCGTAATCACTCATTCCTCCTCATCCATCAGAGAATTCACACCAGAGAGAAGCCTTATAAGTGCAGAGAATGTGGGAAAGCTTTCAGATGGAGTTCTAACCTCTCCCGTCATCAAAGGATTCACTCTTTGGAAAAACAATACGAGTACCATGAAAGTGGAAACATGCCAAATCTGCAGCCACAAATCCTCACTGGTGAGAAACCTTTTTGGTGCCAAGAATGTGGGAAAACTTTTACACGTAAAAGAAGTCTTTTAGATCATAAAGGGATACACAGTGGAGAGAAGCGCTATAAATGTAATCTGTGTGGGAAATCTTATGATAGGAAACATCGCCTTGTTAATCATCAGAGAATCCACACTAAAGAAAGACCTTTTAAATGTCAGTGGTGTGGGAAGGATTTCATTGGAAGACATACCCTCTGCATTCATCAGAGAAAACACACCAGAATGGCACAGTCTGAATGCAGCCTGGCTGGGTTGTCTTCCTGCCAGGATGCAGGGGTGAGTTTACAGGAATTAAAACCAAGTGAGGAGAAGCCCCTTGAAGATTCTGAGGAAGCTTGTGACCAGAGCTCCAGGATCACCGGACTCCAGAACATACCCATTGGGAAAAAGTGCCATAAGTGTAGTACCTGTGGGAAAACTTTTAACAAAAGCTCACAGCTCATTAGCCACAAGAGATTTCATACTCGAGAGAGGCCCTTCAAATGCAGAGAGTGTGGGAAGACCTTCAGGTGGTCTTCAAATTTGGCTCGACATATGAAAAACCATATTAGAGATTAGCTTGGGGTCTGATGGTGGGAGAATGGGTTCCTAGCACACCTGCTGGAGAACCCTTAATTATGGGAAGCATGGGGAAAACCTTCACAAAGGGTCTAGCCCTTTCTATTTTCAAATCTGGTGGCAGAGAATCCTGAATTCAGAAACTCAGGGCATACCCTTTCTTACCTGCTGGGGAGTGTGATGCTGAGGAAGAACAGCAACCTGTTCTTTGGAGCCCTTCTGGAGGTTCGAGCCCCAGAAGTGGCCTTTACCCAGTGACCTGGAGCCCCCAGTCAGGTAATAAGTCTAAAAGCAGATACCATTGCCCTTTGTGGTTTGACAAAATGTCTGTGATGTAATGGGCTGTGGCTGGTGGGAAGGGGCCAGTTGAATCCTGTGATAGTAGATACACTGTTTGACCTTATAAGTAGCAGCAGCAGCAGCCCATGGACTCCTGGTCTCCCCCAAATGCTTTCTGAGAGTTCAGCTTTGACCCTCATATCTCAACTTGGATATCTGCCATGGTTATAGAGTTGTCTCAGCAGCATATGGAGGAGAGCAGGGTTGGACTCAATCACTGGGAGAATGGGGCTCTCCCAGTGCCCTATTACTGTCTCCACCCCACAATCTGCATGGGCAACAGTGGGCCATCTGTTCAACAGAAATGTGGTGATCACCTCCCATATGCCAGACACTGTTGTTGTGCTAGAGACCCAGCAGTGACCAGAACAGACAAAAGATCTGCCATCTTGGATCTTTATAGACAATAAACAAATGAATTATATAGTACTTCAGATGGTGATATATATTGTAGACAAAATTAATCAGAGAAGAGTGAGAGGCAGAGCCGGATTAGGAGGTGGGTTGCAATTTTAAGTAGGCTGGTTAGGGAGGACTTCAACTGAGAAAGCGAAACTTGAGCAAATACCTGAAGGAGGTTAGGGCATGGACCCTGTGGTTCTCTAGATCCAGGCACAGGAGGTGGAATCTTGTCTGGTGTCCTTGGAGGATGGCACTCCTGGGCTGGAGTGGAGTGAGCCAGCAGAAGATAGGGCCCCAGCAAGGTAGTGGCCCAGGCCATGTATCATGGGTCCCCACCGGCTCTAGAGCTTCCTCAAAGGAAGGTAGGGAGCCTTTAGACAGTTTTGAGTTGAGTGATGGGGTCTGAATCTGAATTACACTTACAAGGTTAACCACAGACCCAAGGACTCAGTGAAATTATATAGCTGAGAAATTTTTATGCAGTTATCTCTGCTGTCAGTTTGCAATAAAGGGACACTCTCCTCTCCCCTCACAGAGTCTGCAGTTTTGTAAGGCCTCCAGCTCTCAACAGTTATAAACATTTAATTATTGTGCTTGCTTGCATTTCTAACTTGTGCACACTGTTGGGACCCTCAAACCTTTCATGTAGCTTTCTTCACATATTGGATCCGGTGCTGGCATCGGGTTCAACCCAAACGTACCAGTGCACATGACTGATGCCCTTTGGAGAAAAAGGGGCCTGGTGGGGGAGGCTCCATCTCACTTGCCAACTTGACTTGAAACAAAAAGAATTAGCTCAGTGGCATAAAGGTAAAGGAGTGATTTTTCTAAAATTTGTGTAAGTAGTAATTGCTTCTGATTATTGAAGAGCTCACATGAATATAAGAATAAATATCTCACTTGATAGTAGAGGACCATCTCAAACTACATTTTACTGCTTTGAGTCAGGGCACACTGGTGGAGCAGACCATTTCTTGTAGTGAGAAGAAACCAACCTGGAAAATGTCCTTTCAGTAGAGTACAAGTAATCTTATCCTATCTGGTCGGTTGTGGGCATTTGAAAATGAAGACTTTTGAAACTTTGTGGTGATGTCAGATGGAATAGAGGGCAGGGAGGAGGATCAGACATATATGTTTGTGTTCTGGCCCCCATTCAGCTTTCTACTCAGGAGGGTTTGGTAATCCTGGCTTTTCATCCTTTTACTACAGCAGCAGCTGCCCGTGGTGTGGAATCAGATGTCCCATCACTGGTATAGTGCCAAAAACTGGCTCTGGAAGTCTGGGCACGGGTCAGAGTCTCATGTGCTGAGGGCCCAGGGTCATGGGAAGGGCCTTGGAGTTACGAGATCTGGGTTCCAGTCTCAGTGTGCCTTTTCTTGGCAGGATAATCTTGAACAAGTTGCTGAACATCTGCATCTGTTTTCTGGCATGTAAAATTAGAGTAATTAAGCTCCCTGATTCCTACGATTGTAGAAAGAGGGCTTGGTGTGCAAAGGCTCTGGGTTAGGTAGCTGATCTCTAGAATCGGAGCCCTCACAGAGCTGCAGCTCCAACTCAATAGGGGTGTTCTACAGCCATTTTTATAAAGTGAGATATACTTACTTCTAAACATTCAAACCAAATTTTCAGGTGTACAAAGAAGTAAAAACAAATCCCTCTATACTGAGGTAAGCCTTTAATATTTGGGGATTATATTGATGGAGTCTGTTTTATAACCTAAATTTTTAAATAATTTTAATTATATCAGTAATGTATGGTTATTATAGAAATATTAGTAAATACAGATTAGCTAAAAGAAGACGACTAACTACTTGCAGCTAACTACTAAACATTTTTGGTGTAATCAGTATTGGATTTAACTTCATTGCCGGCCTCTGAACAGCCCTGGACCAGCCTGACTTCTGTCTCCTTTCACCACGAGTATAGGCCATATCCATGCTGGCCAAGGTCCTCATCCATCAAGGCTAACCTTTGTCATCCCTAACACTTGTCTATCTAAGCCCTCTCCCTGGCCCCACTTCTCTTGGTGCCTGTTTCTTACTCTGCTAGATGTTGTCCAGGTTTCCAAGAGTTAGGCCTACTACTGCAGCCAGACAGGGCACTCTGGAGGCCGGGTTGGGTGCTTATTTACCTGCCTGCCATACAAAGACTTTGTACAAAATTACTTCTATTAAGGAATATGGAACTGAACTTAGTTCAGCTTAGTCAGGATTTGGAGTGTTTTGAAGGGGCCCTGAGTACAGTGTTGACTGAAGGTCACCCACAGGTGCACTAGTTAGCACCAGCAGTAGGTGGTTCTAAGCCATGCTGCTCCAGGTGACAATTACTGACTGTGTCAGCCACCAGTTCTTGTCCATTCTGGCCTGGAAAACATGTAGGCTTTTTTGAACCCTGCCTTGCTTTCTTTTGCTGCCTAGGAAGAACCGAAGTTGGGGCTGAGGAGAGCCAGAGTGCTAGGACTCCCAGAGAGGAATAGATATTGGAAAGTCTTTGAATCAGTTGTTCAATGTGGTTGACCCTTGCCTCGCTGATAGGCCATCACCCCACACAAAGACACGTACAGAGAAGAAAGCACAGGAAATTCTTCTCACACTTCTCAAGATGACAAGTTTTACGAGCCGTAGCATGGGTTCGTATGTAGAACAGTGGGAGCTCACTGCTGTGGGAGTGGAAATTGTAATAGCTCCTGTGCCAGGCAGTCTGCAAAATCTTATGATGTGCACACCACCAACAGTTCTATTTCTGGATAAACCCTAGAAGAATTTCATGTAGGGAGGGACATTTGTATAAAACTGTTCATTGCTATACTGTTCATTGCAATATTGTTTAGGTAGTAATATTGGGAAAAGCCTAAATGTCCATCAACAGAAAAAAGGTTGTTTTTGGTACTTTGGGAAATGAATATGAAAAAGCTCAAGTTACTTCATTCAACATAGATAAATCAAAAATGCTAAGAAAGTTACAGAAGTTATGTACAATATACAATTTATGTAAAACATACTGTGTATCTGTGGGCACATTATTTAAACTTAATTTGTGTTTCACTTTTTTAATGAAATGAATAGTAGTAGCCCACCTCACAAGATAATTGGGGGTGGGGGAATGATTAATTAAATAATGCATGTAATAAGGTATTTTGATTAGCAGCTGGCATGTAGGCATTGTCATATAGTAAACAATGTTGTAACTGTTTTGCACAATAATATATTCCTGTGGATTCAAATTATATGATGAAGAGTATAAAATCATGTATTGGAATGTCATGTGAAAGTCATGTTCTGCCTTTTCACGGCAGGAGCTGCTGATGGAGTAAGGGAGGGTAGATGGAAGCTGCAGTTGTGTTTTCATTTTGATAATTGATGTAGATGGGTCACATGTTGCTTAACAGGATAGTGTGGTGTATGTGTGTTTTTTTAACTGCTTAAAATAGTTAAAAATAAAGTGTTTTTAAGCATGGGCTGTGGCATCTTATGATTTTTATAGATATCCTAGTTCTGCCATTTATATAATGTTCAATAGAGTAAGTCTTTTAATCTCTTAAGGCTTTAGTTTTCTCACCTACAAAAATGAGTAGCAACACAAATGGCTATTAGTAAAGGAATGGTTGAACAGTTCTGGTGCATCTTTGGTGGAATACCATGCATCCTTTTTAAAAGATTGAGGATATTCTCTGTGTATTGACACATGATGTCCAAGACAGAGTTTATAGGAAATTATGAGCTCTATTTTAACATTTTTGCCTAAAAATAGCAAGTGAACCCAGAAGCTCTAGACTCAAACGTTTAAGAAATGGGGGGGGGCGGTGGTGGAGTTTAAGAAATAGGATCCTGTGGATGGAGAAGTTAAGTCATTCCATTTTATTAGGTAACTGAAGGAAGATGAATAAATGTTTATATGCTCAACTGGCACATCTAGTAATCTAATGCTAACCCTATAGAATAGTAAAGAGGACTTGTATCACCCAGGTTATAGTCAGGAGCCAGAAAACATACCAGTTACTTTAAGAAAAAGAACTCAGAATTGTTTAATAGGTATATCTAAGTAACTAAAAAGGCAAAAACAAAGTGCTAGTTTATCATGGAGGCAGTGACTTGAGACTTGGTGCCATCCCAAGACTGGGAGAACCATAATGGAGTCTGACCCCGTTTTTTATGTTTGACCACTAACAGCTTTCAAACCCTCACCCTGGGCAAGCTGATAAGAAAGCCCAGGTACTCACTCAGCACTTGAGGTGAAATTTATGTAAACCCTGGCTTTTTCCATTATCCTGGAAACCCACACCCCTTAGCACAATAAAAATCAGAGCCATTGGCCCCACCTTGTAATCAGTGCAAACTGACTGGCTTGGGTGCCTGTCTTGCTCTTCGCAGAGAGCCACATTATGTGAATAATAAACTTTTCATGACCCCTTGATGTGTGTGCTATCATCTGTCTTGACATCTGAATCAGTTTGGGGTGATGGTACAGTATTGATCCCACCTCCACAGAAAAGCTACAAAGTAGGAACAGAAGAATTGTTAAAAGGTAGAATGTTGGAAGAGAGCACCTGTAGAGCTGAACTCAGACCTAAAAGGAGGAGAGCACTGCTGGCCTGGAGTTGGTCTGAATTGGAAGGAGGGCCCTGTGGTGACAACTGCAAGCTGGACCCAATTGCTGCTACCAAAGGGAATTGCCACTACTGCTGGAGTGAAGCAGCTTTGGAAACAGGAACCAGTGCCCACATACAGAGAAAACCTCTCTTCCTCCTTGTATTAGGGTTCTCCAGAGGAACAGAATAAATTGAATGTGTGTATACATCCAGAAAGAGATATGGAATTGTCTCGTGTGATTCCAGAGGCTGGCAAGTCAAAAAAATCTTCAGGATGGACCACAAACTAGAGACCCAGGAGAGCTAATATTCCTGTTCCGGGTTGAAGGCTGGCTGTTGTAGAACCAGGAAGAGTCAGTATCGCAGATGAAGTCTAAAGGCCAGGGGGAGGCCAGTCTTTTTGTTATATGTAGGCCTTCAACTGATTTAATTTAACGAGGCCCACCCACATAATGGAGAGTATTTTCTTTACTCAAAACCCATTAACTTAAATGTTAATCTTATCCAAAAACACCCTCACAGAAACACTCATTTGACCAAATATCTGGGCACCCTGTCACTCAGCCAAGCTGACACAGTAATTACAATTCTTCAACACTGCAGCTTCCCTCTTAACATTGCTTTTTTTTTTAATAAATTTATTACAAGTTAATTTCTTTTTTTTTTCAAAGATTTTATTTATTTATTTGACAGAGATCACAAGTAGGCAGAGAGGCAGGCAGAGAGGAGGAAGCAGGCTCCCCGCTGAGCAGAGAGCCTGATGTGGGGCTCGATCCCAGGACCCCGGGATCATGACCTGAGCCGAAGGCAGAGGCCCTAACCCACTGAGCCACCCAGGCGCCCCACCTCTTAACATTTCTTGATGCCAGAACCTAATAGGGAAATAGCTGGCAAAATAGAAATGTGAATCACAGAGTTCCAACCCCATCATCTCAAAGCATCTATAGAAGAGTGAGTTTGAAGCAGAGACAATAGTAACTGGCACAGCTTTCCTAAGTTATCTTAAAAATTCCTAGGATGCTTGACTTAAAACTTTGAGACCAAGAATATTTGTCAAAGAAATTGTGTAGGAGTGCCTGGTGGCTCAGTTGGAAAAGCATGTTACAGTTGATCTCAAGGTCAAGTCCAAGCCCTACATTAGGTATAGAGATTACTTAATAAAACTTAAAAAAATATGCATGGTACGTTATGGACAGCTGCACACTTAAAAATATAAATTATGTCATAAGCAGTTGATTTACCTATGGACCTTGTAATAATTGGGTGTTTGACCTTACTCATCTTATTATATTGAATTGAAACTTAAAA